CATCTGCGCCGCCTCGACTTCTTCCACTACATTCTTATTTCCTTCCCATACTTCTCCGGCGTACTCTAGCGGCGGTACGATTACGCTCTTCAAAACCTTCAATTTGATGCGTGTATCGAGGTGCCGGTTTGCGAGTATTGGGTGCAGCTTCCCTGCTCGTGCTCCCGTTCCGCTACCTTGGACATGTGTGCATTCCACGAGCAGTCTTTTGCGATCTCTATTCCAAGGTATGTGTACTGGTCCACTACTGCAATCTCCTCGATCCCCCGCTTCCATCTATGTTCTACTGGTTCCTCCTTGTCCTCGTTGCATACCACGACGGCACTCTCCTTAACGTTGGCAGACAATCTCCACTTATCAGTAAACTTCTTCGCCGTCCGCTGGAGGGGATCGAGCAATAGCAGGGGGTCTATGATCGACGTGATGAATTAGCAATGGCAATAGGGTTAAGAAGGTGGGGGCTCGTGTTACCCTTGACGTCTGAGCGAGACCTCCCCGTCGACGAAATGCTCAGAAGGTAGGAAACAACCAAAATATTCTAAATTCTTGGCCCCGTTGCTTCAATATTTTGTGTCCTACATGTATATGTTAGGGTCTTCTTGTGCGTATTTTTCATGGAGCCGACAAACTAGCCTCTCGAGCTTTGTCAGAAGAAAAAACTAGGCGTGCATATCCGCTTCTATCTACTTGGGATGCAGGCGACATCGCTGCGGAGGTGGGAGCAACGCCAACAGCACAACGCCTACGACCAAACATGTCGCCGACGCAAACGAAAAAGAAAACGCGTACAACAACATTACACGGCAAACATCCGCCTTGTACCTGGCCTGCAGCCGGCTCTCCAGGGCCGACCGGAGCGACGGCGCCGCGTCCACCACGCCCGCAAGAACGCCTTCCATCCCCTCCACCAGCCCGGACGCGGACTTCCGCCAGGTCTCCCACTCCGCCACGACATGCCGCCGCTGTCCCCCTCCGGCCGCCACGGCCACCGCCTCCTTCCACGTCGTCGACGGCGGCGCGGGAAACGGCCTTCCCCACCCGCCGCCGCCGCTGCCGCTGGTCGCGGCATCTCGCCATTTCCACGCCATCGTCGCCGCCGCATCCTTCGCCGCGACGGCCTCGCGAAGCGCCGCAAACTCAGCGGACGCTGCCGCTGTCGCCAGGGCCGCTCCTTCGAGCACGGCGACGGGTTTAGCACCGCCACCGCCGCTGCCGTTTCCTGGTGATATCACGGCGTCCAGCAGCGCGTGTCCGTCCGCAAGAGTGGACTTGGCGGATGGAGAGGGGTTGGAGCCGGGTGAGGTGGGGAAAGCGGCGCGCGCGGCGAGGACTCGCCAGCTGTGCCAGCCCAACGACTGAACGGAGAAGGAAAGGGGGTAGGAATAGACGAGAGAGAGAGAGAGAAAGAGAGAGGGAAAGAACGAGAGAGAGGGTGAGAGAGATAGACAGAGCAGAGAGACAAGCAAACAACGAAGAGGGGGAGGGCATGAGTGGGCCCGGGACAATTAATATTAGGCGTGGGGAAGTACAGAGACAAGGCAGCAAATGAACATGCGACGACACGCCCCCCAGAAACGCAAGTCCTTCAGCAGCAGTAACAGGGGAACAGCGCAACGTTCTTACACTGCTATCCCCCGCTCCGCACCGAGGGGAGCTGGCTATCTGCCGGCGCTACAGCTCGTGCCGCCCCACCACGCTCGCCGCGTCCATGCCGTCCTCATCTCTACCGGCTTCTTCACCCAAAGTCGTGACAAGAATTCCACCACGCCCACACCCTCCTCCTTACCCGAACACCAGCGGCAACAATCTGCGCCACGAGCTCCCTCCCGCCGCCGGAAGAGGCAGCCGCTGCCGCCGCGCCGCCGCTTGCTGTCGGCATCCCCTTCTTCTCCTGTCCGGTGGTGTCGCCGCTCTTGGACCAGGCCGAGAGGTTGTCGCCGGCGGCAAGCAGGGCAGTCACGCCGCCCGCTGCCTCCGGCTGCGTCGCCGCCGCCGCCGCCGCTGATGACGGTGCCGCGGCCGCCGCCGCTGCCTGAAGGCACGCCGCTCGCCACCTCAGCGCCTCCGTGAGCTGGCGGGTTGTGGGTGAAGTGTTCGAACGTTTTCGAACGCCGTTGGAGGTGAAGGTGTTGGATGCTCTCGTTGTTGTTATAAATTCCTTGTTCATTGTTGTTATGATTGTCTCGTGTGTTACCCGTAACATGTTACGATTGCTGAAGGTGAAGGCATTGTCTACCCGTGCGACGCCTCGCCGACCGCGGCCGCGGCGAAACTACACATCAGCAAGGCCGTCGGTCGCAGAGAAAACAATGAAAATGTACGTGGTTGAGCTCGGGTTCGGGTGGGGGTGAGACGTTTGTGTGAGACAACAAATCGATCTCGGTAAGCTTCAGCCACACCAAAAAATAACCAGTGTGTGCTACTCCTGCTACTACATCTCCAGCTCCATCCTTTCCTGCCGGTTCGCGGGAACATGAGCGCAGGAGATGGGGTCTGAGCTGTCGCTGATGGCAAGAAAGGACGCCACAAGACAAACTACGCCTACGCACCATCTCCACACAATTTCACAAGGAAACTCGGGGAGCCCTCTCCCTCCCGCCACCCCGCCCCTGGTTCCGCTGATGGGGAAGAGTAACCGCTGCGGCGAGACGTGAGCAACGGATACCGTCGACATACCCCTCCCTAGTTTGCGAGACCCCGAAGACGTGATGACAGGGCCTACAGTAACGCGGCACAGGACTACAACGGTGTGGCCTACCGTATATGACAGAAGATAACACACCCCCTGGACCGATTTTCAAAGCTCGATTACTCTACGACGAAGAGGATGCATAAACGAAACGATACATTTTCGAAAAGCTCTCGACGAGACGGTTTCAATGCCGCCGTTTTCGGCGCTGTGACTGTTCCTGCAGTTGAGAAATCGAGCTTCGACAAATCGGTCAAGGGGGTGTGTTATCTTGTGTCATATACGGTACGTGTGAGCTTAAGTACCCCCACACATACACACTCATGGTGTGCAAAACGACCACGAGCCATGGGCAAATCATGAGCACCCTCCTGATACCTGGGGAGGCGACACGACCCGTTCCCCTCTTTGCGCGAGAGCTATCAGATCCTCCATGGAAGTGGAACAAGCACCGGCTCCGGTAGCAGCTCGCCGCACCTCGTCTTCCCAAGCCGAGGCCTCCTGTTCGACCGGGGGGGGGGCAACATCACATGTCAGGAACAAAGTGTTGAAACGTGGTAGTATGTATCGTGGACAGTTTTTGATATCGGGGTCATACTCGCATGTGTGAGAGCAGTACCTCTCGCAGGCCACCGGAACTACCGGCACGTGCTCTACGATTTACAACTGGATGTCTGGGGGTATATACTTTGCCTTGCAATCCTGACATCTCGCCACAAAAACAAAACGCGTAACAGTAAGCAGCGACGGGCCGCGCACCCACCCGACCGCCGGAAATAGTCCCAACCCGTACACCTCCGGGATTCGGCGGCACAACGAAGACAAGCGAGGCAAGCAGCGGACAACTACGGCATAACTGCACTACCTCTGCCCCCCTTATCATTGACGTCCCAAGTGCAACGTCTGTTGTACGTTGTGCCCAGCTATTGTTCGCCAAGAACGCCTTCTTCAGCCCCCCCCCCCCGTGACACACATTGCTCCGTCCTCTCGTCAATGATCCAACAGTTAAGGCATGCCAAACATGAGGTACGCTCCCCGCCCCCCCACCCAGAGACACACAACCCCCCTGCTTCACCTCCAGCAACCTCGACAATTCCACCGCCTCCGGCACCCCGGAAACCTTGAGCTCGACCTCCACCTCGGCAAGCAGTGCCTCGATGCTCTCCCGCAGCCCCGCTCCGCCGCCCTCTCCCTTCCCACCCCCTTCCTTTTCTTTCCCCGCTGCGGGTGCCCCCCCCTCCCTGGATCGGGCGGTCGCCAGGAGCTTTGCAGCGCGTTGCTGCCAGCGCTTCACCTTCGATACCCTGTCATGAAGGAGGCAAGGGTTAGGTGTGGGGGGCAGGGTGGCCATGTCAGGTGGGCNGGGGGGGGGGGGGGGGGGGGGGGGGGGGGGGGGGGGGGGGGGGGGGGGGGGGGGGGGGGGACTCATGTTTCGCATGCGTTAGCTGTTAGACCGTTGACCGCGCGTCCTCGAGAGGACGGAGCAGTATTTCCATAGGGCCAATCACCGATGGCCAATCGATCCTTCCCACTACTTTTTCGTTTCGCCAAACGCGGCTGGAATAATTTTTCCGTATCTTGTCCATTTTCCTTCCCACCTATTCTGCCCACTTCTTAACCCCTGTGTAGCAGGTTGGGGGGTGGTTGAAGAATGGTAGCGGAATGTAAGCACAGAGCTGGAGATGTCGAAGCAGCTACAAACGAGCCGAGGCACACGGAAGGGCTCGGGAACTGAGAGATGTGACCGATACAGGCATGAACAACCGTGGTGAGGACACATTGCTGTGGGCTTCACATGGGTGAAAATCTGAGGCCACACAACAAGGGTCAAGGATTGGGGACAAGTCCCAAACCCATATTCGGGGTAACGGGGTAACGGGGTAACGGGGTAACGGATCCGCCGACCAGAGCGTGGAGTAGTGCGGTGTGGCGGTCAAAGAGGAGACTCCATGACAACAGAGACGGCAACGACAAGCATCGACCTCACGAAACACCGGCAATCAATCGCCAAGGCAGAGGAGCGGCCCAAACACGGCTTGTGTCCTACGTACAGCAGCCACGACGGCTAGGCTAAGGCAACACAGTCTGCATGGGTTTTAGGATCGCGGTCGGTAGACAAACAACCAGGCAAGAGACATCTACACCAAAAAAAAAAATCGGCCGGTACCGTCTGGTCTGCGTTGGGCGAAAGAGGGACAGAGGAATGAGGAGGGTTCGGAAGTGCTGTGGTGGCCATGACGGTGTTGTCTTTGAAGACCACAGCAAGCGAACTCACTTGGTGTACATCGGCATGCAGGACTTGAACCCTTCCAGCATAGACTCCAGCTGATCGGAACCGGTGATCTGCTCGTGAAGGCTGAGCAACTGCGAAGGTACACAATGGGGGGGCGGGGGGGATGGCGGCAAGAAGTTGGACGATGGTAAAGCAACAGTAACAAAGACATTTCGCCACTCGCGTTTGGACAAAAGGGAGAACAGGCCCGGCACGGGCAAAAGTGTCGAACAACAAGAGTACGCCTTGGCCTTGGGGAAAAAGAAAAGCGCGGGGGTATTAACTACCGGTAGCTCGATCGAGACAAAACCAGCTAGAACCCTCAAGGCCTAACGAATGGGACGCAACCATCCAGACTCGAACAGCGGTTGCATGCGCATTGGCAAATTTCAAAGGCGGCAGATAGTCCAGGCTTGCCTGGAGTCTTCCAATGTGAAAAAACGACCAATGCCGGAGAAAGCATTCCCCACCCACCTGTTGATGCGTCATGACTTCTGACAGTCCCTTGGAAGCAGCTTCATTCCACCGAAGGGCGTCCAGCCGTAGCGCCAGCGCCTGCCACGATCCAGGGGGGGGGGGGGGCAAGTCAGGAAAGGATCACAACAAACTCTGTTGCGCAGCGGAAAAGCAACATGAAGAGTCACCAACGACGATAACGACAACGACTACAGGCACAACTGCCATACGCGCCTACATCCCAATCTTACGTTGCACAAGATACCACACCCCCCAACCGATTTCCAAAAGGGCAATCACCCGCAGGGGACACCACAATCGCACATGGTGCGTTTTGGGGAACTTCGACAACAACGTTCCAACATCGCGATTGTCGGCGCCGCCACTGAATCGGTGGGCGTGTGATATCCTAAGCAACTTACGGCATAACGTGTAAACCAGTTGAGGACAAGACCAAAGTCACAAATGATGGCGTTTGCGGCAAAGCCTCTCGACGAGGAGGTTCCAAAATCCGCCATTTTTCGGTACCGCCGCCGCTGCAGAGTAATCGACAGCTTGGACACAAACCGGTCTAGGGCGTGTGGCATGCCTTGCAACCTACGGCATGCTTTGAAAAATCGGTCCAGGGGGGATGGTATCCAATGCAACCTACGGAACAAGACGTGTGAACCAGTTGAGTGAATATCACCTCTTCTTCGGGATAGACGACGGGCGTCGCGCGCAGATCGCCCAGCACGCCTTCGGCATCGCACAACTCCGCGTCGCTGGAGGCCTCGCTCAGGCCCCCTTCCTCCACCGGCTTGAGCAGTTCCCTAGCCCTGCTCCGGACCGAAAAAAGGGGGTCTTGTAAATAGGGGTCACCGCTGCTGCCGTTGTCATTGCAGGTGTTCGTCCGTCGAGAACGGTTTCGCTATCGCTTGTGTACAGCAGATCGATCTCGGCAGCCTTGAGTGAACGAGAAACAAAGAGTGTTGCTAAATCGCCTACATATCTCGGTGACTTGAGTAATAGAGAACGGTAGCGTTGCTGTGTTGCCTACAGAAGCAATCAATAGCCTTATTATAGAGAAAAGTGTAGTGTTGCTATATCGCCCACGGCAGATCTCCACAACATTGTTGTCGAAAGAATGCAGTGTTGCTGTATCGCCTACAGCAGAGTCTCGCGAGCCTCATTGTCGAGTAACGTGTGTTGTTCAGGCAACCAAAAAAGAGTGCACAAGGGGTTCGCGTTCCTGCACGGAAAGCCAAGACAGCAACACTTCACCCAACACGCGTCGCTGTCGTTCGTCGTTTAATGTTCCAGCCGTCAAAAACGGTCGCGACAAGAGGGTTTCATGTCGAACAGAGCAGCGTTCTCCAGTCCCGGGCGAGCGACCGAGCGCGTCCCTCTCCCGCAAAACCTTTTACCCCTAACATTGCCAACAACAAAAACAACAACGCGGGCGCCATATCGCTCCCGCCGTGTGCAAACGAAACGGTCCAAAAAGGCATCAGATTCCCCAGCAACGGAAACAACACAAAAAACAACGCGGCCGCCGGATCACTCCCACCGAATGCAGGCGACAAGAAAAACGGCTAATGACACAGACAGCATTCTAGGGGCGAAAAGGCCTCCGCCGGCTCACGACTCGCCTCGTTGCCGGACCCTCCCCCTCCGCGAGCGCCGTAACCTTGGTCACGAGGGGCGACACGCCCCCCCCGGCGGCCCTCAGGAGCCCGAGCTTGCCAGCCTCCGTCATCAGCGACTGCGTTGCCGACAACGATACAGACGGGAAGGCGTGTGTGTGTTGATGCGAATGAGTGCACGGATTAATGTGGTTTTTTCTATGGTGTGTGTACATATCGACACGGAATACCATGAGACGAAGCTTTGTATTTTGCGAGGAACGAACGCACCGTGTGGAGGTATAAAGGGCCCCCAAGGCAAAGAGAGAGAACAGAAAAGAACCCGCGAGCATCACCCTTGAGAACAAAACATCCGCAAGCCACAACTGATCCCTCCTTCAACTGCCACCACTCCCGCCTGTGACAAGATGGCAAAGCGTCTGTCTGTCTCCGAACCCGAGCACTCGCGTACGTTCCCAACAACGATGCAGAGGCGGAGAGGTGACACCCCCCCTAGAGCGACTTTCAATGGTCGATTCGATTGCTCCACAAACCAAGAGGGTTCGGAAAGATCTCGATATTTCTGCGGAAAGCTCTCGAGATATTCTCCAAAACCACCATTCTTGGCTTTGGCACAATCTCGGTAGTGGAGCAATCGAGCGTCAAAATTCGGTCTAGGGGGGGAGGGGGGCCACTTTCCACCTCTTACAGCATACCAGGTCGTACATCAATTGCCTCAACAAAAGAAAGAAACACCTACACTACAGGCGCCATGACGAAGATAAAGGACGACAACCGTGACCGAAAAAACACCACGGCTAAAGCACCAAAGCGCCAAGGCACTACACCTGCGTCAAGGCGACCGAGGGGCGAGCGATACCAACGGCCTCGCACGATATCACCGCCGCCGCCCGCTGCGCCCAGCCCCTCCTGCCCAGGGCCCTGGTCAGGGCGTCCTTGGCCGGCGTCTTGATGCCGTGAGAAAACGACGCCGCCTCTGCCAAACGAAACAAGAATCAAAAGATGTGCAGACGGAACGGGGTGTGTTGAGTACATAATCAAAACCAACCTTTTTCCCCTGATGATAACTGCGTACAATCGTGATCGTGTTTCCTGCGAATAGATTGTGTTGCGTCAAAACTTATGCACAACTTTGCGGAAATAATGAAGAAGAATAAAAAAGCTTTAACGAACGGAATATCATGGCGACGACACGTGTCAGAAAGGACAGGGCATCTCTGGCACCGTTGTCCCCGACCATGCTCAAACGCAGCCTTGTGAAGAACACAGTAAACGAAAAGCGACTCACAGCCATGGACGACACAACACGCATGCGAGACCCGAATAAACCAACACACCCGCAGAATGGCTGCAGCAGCAAGGAAGCGAGGACGCGGAGGGGGCGGGTACCAAAGGTAGAGGTTCGACGACAACCGAGAGACACGAAAAAGAGGTGAATAGCTTTCGGACGTCACAACCGCGACGGACCGGACGGCAGAAGACCCTCCGCCCTCCACAGGAGAAGGACACTACACCATGCCATATCTCCCATCTTCTTGGCATACACGGCACGACTTGATAAGCAAAAAGCAATACCTTCCTCCGCGTCGTGTCAGAGAAACCATTCGCAATGTTGTATTGGTTGGTACATAGAAACATGACAGCAGGTTGTGCGGCACGCGTTTGCTACTGCATGATTGTAACGTAACGGCAGCACCTTCTTTCTACTGGTGTAGGTGTACGACACACCTTGCAAGAGCCCCGAAGCGTTCTCGTCGGCCTTGCCGTTTTCGCCGGGGGGCGTGGGGGAGCACACGGTGAGGGTCCCCGCCAAATCTTCCAGAGGGACGGCCTCCAGGGTAGCCGCACAGCGCAGTGCTCGAGACTTGATGAAATAGGGAGATAAGGAGATAAGGCGCAGGAGCAGTAGAGGCGGACGTAGTATTGACAGTGGGAGCGGCAAACAACGGCAAGAAACAACAGCAGTCAAAGCAAGAACGTGCAGCCAATATAGGACCAGCAGAGACGCGCGGCGCATGGGCCTACAGGCAGCAGCAGCGGCAGCAAACAGCGGTAGCGGTATATCAAGATGCCACGTACATGAAAGAAAAAGTCAAATTGAGCATCTAAAACAAACACAGCTCGTTCGTGCCTTTGTGACCAAGGGTCAGAGAAGGGGCGGGCGTTCGCAGGGGAGGATCGTGCCGTGCCCGTTTTCCTCTCTCCACGTCGCAGTCCTGTTAAGATGCGTGCCCCCTCTCTCTATCCCTCCGCCCCGCTCTCTCTGTGTGTGTCTCTTTGCCCGTATCTTTTTCTCAATCTTGTCGCTACATCTAAAGCTTGTCTCCCGATGTCTGCCTGTCTAACTGTCCGTCTGTTTGTCTCTGTCTCTCTCCTCCTCCCACTGTGTCTCTGCCCCTGCCTACTCTCTCTCTCTCTCTCTCTCTCTCTCTCTCTCTCT